GTGCCAAATGAATCAACTCAGGGTTATGGCCGTAGTCATGGCCATAGCCGTGGACGAGGTCATGGTCGTAGCCGTGGTTGTGGTCGTGGTAGTACATCTTTCCACCAGAAGTGGACAAACAATGAAGAAAAACACAAGAAAGGAATAAGTGGGGATAATAATAATAATATTGAAAATTTGTGCTACCGTTGTGGTAGTAAAGGTCATTGGTACCTGTCGTACTCTAAAATATTTGATTGATCTTTACCAAGAATCACTTAAAAGTAATAGTAAAAACAAAGAGGCAAAGATAGAAACACATTTTGCTTTTGAAGGTGGTGATTCTGATTATGGTGACATGGATGTTACTCATTTGAACGTTGCTGATTTCTTTGCCAATCCTAATGGAAGAATTGATCACCTGATTAGGGATGGAAATGTTTAGAAATAAATTTCTTAGATATTGATGTTAAATTTTATAGTTAAGTGTCATTTTAATTTTCTTAAATTGGAATAAAGAATTTACTTACAATTTTTTTTAGAGAATTTACTTATGATGTTATTGTTTTTCAATTAATAAAGTTTTTGTATTCTATATTTTAATTATATATTTTTATATTTTTTAATGAAAAATGAGTATTCATCTGATTGGTACCAACGACAATAATGGAGATATGTGTCTCATTGATAGTGCAACAACTCATACAATACTCAAAAATAAAAAAATATTTTTCTTCTTTGGTAATGCAAAAAGCCAGTGTTTAAACTATATTCAAAAGTATAAAGATGATTGATAGCTCTGGAAGGGCTAATATATTGTTGCTTGAAGGAACTAAATTACACATTAATGGTGCATTTTATTCTATTAAGTCTAGTAGAAATTTATTGAGTTTTAAGGATATCCGTAGAAATGGATACCATAATGAGACAGCAAATGAAGAAAATAAAGAATATCTTATTATTACGAATTTAATTTCTGATAAAAAGTGCACACTAGAAAAATTACCTACATTTTCCTTTGGCTTGTATTACACATTTATTAATACAATTAAAATACATGCTATTGTAAATTAAAATTTTATAAATGGTAATAAATTCAATGTTTAGCATGATCGGTTAGGCCATCCTGGGTCAATTATGATACAAAAGATAATCATAAAAACCATGTGGACATTTATTGAAAGGTCAACAGATTCCATGATCCCATAATTTTTCACGTGTTGCATGTTATAAAGAAAAGTTAATTATTTGACCATCATTAATAAAAATAGAAAGTGAGCCTCTCACATTTTTAGAACGCATACAAGGTGATATTTGTGGGCCTATACACCCACCATGCGGACCATTCAAGTACTTTATAGTTTTAATTAATGCATCAACAAAATGGTCGTATGTTTGCTTGTTATCTTCTTGTAACTTGGCGTTTGCGAGATTGCTTGCTCAACTTATTAAATTAAGAGCACATTTTCCTGACTATCCTATTAAGAAAATACATTTAGATAATGCTGATGAATTTACTTCACAAGCCTTTAATGAATATTGCATGTCTCTTAGAATTGATGTTGAACATCCTGTAGCACATGTTCATACACAAAATGGACTTGCAGAATCATTGATTAAATGCTTACAATTGATTGCACAACCATTATTTATGTGATCGAATCTCCCAATTTCTACTTGGGAGCATGCAATTTTACATACAGTATTATTAATTTGTATTAGGCCGACAAGTTATCTTAAGAGCTCCCCTTTAGAATTGGTTTTTGGTCAAGAACCTAATATTTTCCACCTAAGAATTTGTAAATGTGCAGTATATGTTCCAATTGCTCCACCACAACGTATTAAGATGGGTCCTCAAAGAAGGATAGGAATATATGTTGGGTATGAATCTCCATCTATAATTAAATATTTAGAATCATCAACAAGAGATTTATTTACTGTTTGATTTTCTAATTGTCATTTTAATGAATCAGTTTTCCCAACATTAGGGGGAGAAAATAAGCAGTTGGAAAAGAAAATTAGTTGGAATGAATTATTATTATCTCATCTTGATCCTCATACAAAGCAATGTGAACTAGAAATTTAAAAGATAATTCATTTATAAAATTTAGCAAATCAATTGCCAAATGCATTTACTGACCTTAAAAAAGTAACTAAATCACATATTCCAACTGCTAATGCTCCAATTAGAATTAATATCCTAGTTGGACAGCCTGTTATTGTAAATGATTCTAAACCATACATAAAACGTGGAAGGCCCATTGATTTCAAAGATAAAAATCCTCAAAAAAGAAAAGGAGCTAGGAACACAAATGATCAAATTGAGGATAATCAAGAAGAGTTAGTAACTCATGAAGATTCATTTGAGACTGCTAATATTTCAATTCCAGAAGAAACTCAAGTACTTGAAATGTGTGAAAATAATGAGATCTCAATAAATTATATTATGAATGGAATACAATGGGACCGAAATGAAGTTAACGTTGACGATATTTTTGCATATAATGTAGTGCTTGATGTAATAAATGATAATGAAGATCATGAACCAAAGTGCATTAAGGAATGCAAATAAAGAGAAGATTGGCCAAAATGGAAAGACGTAAGAGACAGAATTAAAATCACTTGAAAAGCAAAATGTTTTTGGACCTATAGTCTACACACTTGAAGGTGTCAAGTCGGTGGGATATAAATGTGTTTTTGTGTGAAAAAGGAATGAAAATGGTGAAATTGTAAGATATAAGGCACGGCTTGTAGCTCAAGGATTTACATAAAGGCCTAGAATTGACTTTGTTGAAACATATTCACCCGTGGTGGATGCAACTACTTTTCGATATTTAATTAGCCTGGCAATAAGTAAAGGACTCGATTTGCGTCTAATGGATGTTGTTACAGCTTATTTGTATGGTCCATTCAATAATGACATTTACATGAAACTCCCTGAAAGATTTAAATTGCCAAAAGCATACAATTCAAGTTCTCGAGAAAATTATTCAATTAAGTTAAATAAATCCTTATATAGATTGAAACAATCAGGGCGTATGTGGTATAATTGACTTAATCATTATCTGTTAAAAGAAAGTTATAAAAATGATCCAATTTGTCCTTGTACTTTTATGAAAAGATCTGGAAAAGAGTTTGCTATAATTGTTGTTCATGTTGATAACATAAATATCATTGGAACACCTGAAGAGCTTTCAAAAGCTATAAATTGCTTAAAGAAAGAATTTAAAATGAAAGATTTAGGAAGAACAAAATTTTGTCTTGGATTGCAAATGGAATATATGAATAATGGAATTTTTCTATATCAAGAAACTTATACAAGAAAGGTCTTAAAATAATTTATATGGATAGATCACATCTGTTATATACCCTAATAGTTGTAAAATCATTGAAGGTAGATAAATATCCTTTTAGACCTCAAAAAGGTGACGAAAAACTACTTGATCCAGACGTATCATATCTTAGTGCAATTGGAGCACTAATGTATCTTGCTAGTCACACACGACTTGATATCTCATTTGCTATTAACTTATTAGCGAGATACAGTTCTTCACCAACACGAAGGCATTGGAATGGTGTCAAGCACAATTTTAGTTATCTTAGGGGTACTATGGATATAGGATTATTTTATTCCAAAGTACCTAAAGCTAACCTTATTGGTTATGCAGATGCTGGATTTTTGTTTGATCCTCATGTTGGTAGATCACAGACAGGTTATTTGTTCATATGTGGTGGTATAGCCATTTCATGGCAATCTATGAAATAGACAATGTCAGTCACATCATCTAATCATGTAGAAATTCTAGCTGTACATGAAGCAAGTCAAGAATGTGTGTGGTTAAAATCATTAATCTATCACATGCAAGCTACTCGTGGTCTATCTTTTAATAAAATGATCCCAACAATCATATATGAAGATAATACTGCTTGTATTGCCCAATTGAAATAAGGATATATTAAAGGAGATAGAACGAAACATATTTCACTAAAAAAATTTTTTCACTCACAATCTTTAAAAGAATGGTGAAATTAATATCCAACAAATTCGTTCTAAAGAAAATCTAGCTAATATGTTTACCAAGTCACTTCCTGCTAGAATAGTTGAAAAACTTGTTCATGATACTGGACTTCGCAGACTCACAGATATTGATTCATGCTATCTAGAGGGGGAGTTAATACATGCTGTACTCTTTTTTTCTTGTTTAAGGTTTTTTTCTATTGGGTTTTCCTAGCAAAGTTTTTAATGAGATATCATTGAATAGCGTATCAATAAATGATGTACTCTTTTCTTCTACTAGGTTTTTTCCATAGGGTTTTTTCTAGTTGAAGTTTTTAATGAGGCACATTATTATATAATGGACATTCAAGGGAGAGTGTTATGAATATTACAAGGATAGTAGATGTTCATCTTCATCACCTCTTCATCTTCATCTTCTCCCATGAAACTCCCACTATCATGAGAGTTAATTACCTTTTATTTGCTTTTATTATTTGTATAACCTTTGATTTGTAAGACCATATCTATAAATAGGGCATGGAATTTGTTTTAAAAGATATAATAATCCATAAGAAATTCTCTCATTCTTTTATCTCTATTTCTTCTCTCAATATCTTTATTTTTTAGTTGTTAATTTTATAACAGAAATTTTTTTTATGATTAAAATTTTTATTCTGAAATTTATTTTAAAGAAATTTAGAGAATATTCTCTCCTGGGTAAGCCTTGGTCCTTGGGAAAGTAATTTGACAGTTACACAAATGGCAAGTTGCAACAAACGGGTACGATATTTATCAAGTTAATTGACGAAACGACCCCTCCACAAAATCCCCCACACGGCTTTTCGATTTCGAAACTGCACCTCTCTTTCTCGTGACCCGTCCGTAACACACGCGTCCCTTTTCGTCATTCCACTCCACAAGCATCTCCCAGCAAAGATAATGAAAATCACCACCACGATCCAAAGTCCCTCACACTCACTCACGAACCCACTTTCCTTCGGTGCGTCTCTCTCGATCTGCGTCCATGGCGGACGATCAAACTCCTGAATCGCCTCTCTCCTTCAAGGACAAACTCAGATCCTCCTTGTGCTTCTTGTGCTGCTTCCACCACCACGATCACCACCATCGCCATACGGTGAAGCCGAAACTGGTTCGGAGCTCATCGCTTCAGCACAGGCCTTCCCGCTCTTATGATCTTCCGCATCTGAAGGAGAAGTGTAGCAACTTTATCTCCAGGATCGGCCGCCATCGCCGACGGCATTCGGCCGATTTCCAGTATGATGCGCTCAGTTATGCGCTGAATTTTGAAGACGATGCGATGGACGAAGATAGGCCTGCCGGCGACTTCAGGAATTTCTCCGCGAGGTTGCCTCTGTCTCCGACGTCTAAGGTGTCTTCGGATCTGAAGACGACAGGGAAATCGCTGCTCTTGGTCGATCTATAATGTGTAACGTGTGATAAGTCTTACGTGAGATCTGGAATGTGTTACTGATTGTGAAACAGAAAAAGTTAAATCGCATGAATTCACGGCGGCGGCGGCGTCGATCCTGTCGGACGGAGTAAATGGATGCCGCTGAACCTGAACTCGGTGCTTATGGTTTTTTTTTTTTTTTTGGCTTTTTAATTTTGTTTTGTTTCTTCGTCTTACTACCTGTCTTTGTAAAAGTTGTGAATGCGATCCATCGCAGAGGAATAACAAAGGAAAAGTAAGAACAGAAAGGGCAAAGAATAACACAGAAAAGAAATGACCAATCTAAAGAAATAGATTGAAAAAGTGTATACTTATTTGAGTATCACATGAGTCCAGTCTTAGTAATTAGTCTGGCTTACATTTTCAAAGAACTTTTTATTTGTTTATATTATACATTTATTGAAAAACTAATGATAAAAACATCACAAAACACAAGGCTAATCTATAATGTAATTGATCCATTGTTTTCGAGATCGATCTGTCTCCATTTTCTCTATCTTGCTTGTATTGGCTGCATGATTTTCCATAGCACACTAATGGATCAAATTGCTCATATTGCTACAGCGTACTCGCTAAAACATTGAGAAGACTTCAGGCTTCAATTTCTTTTTAGCTAATTTTGTTTTTAGCAGATGTTAATTTTGCAATTATATGATGTGCCATCTTTTTTTCTGATAAACGACTGTAGCTTTACTTTTTTGGGACATGAGATGAATGTAGGTTGGTGTTAACTCAATTCAAAAAATAATAATACTTCCTTCCAAATCACAACAATATAAATTATAGTTAACTAATTTATAAATTATGAATGATATTAGTTGAAACAGGTGTTTTAAAAATCAGAGAACTAGGAATTGACTCTTGGTTCAATTCGATTGACCCCTCAAAACTGGCAGCAAGGAAACCGGTCCAGTTTTCAATTGATTTTTCCAATTGGACTAATTAAAAATTTAAAGAAATTAATTTGAAAATTAATTAAAACAATGAACAGCCAAGAATAATTAATATTAATCTTGTATTCATCAACAATATATCATTTTATCAAGCATTTATTTTTACTAAAATATAAATATTTGCATATATTTCTCATTTAATTATGATACATAAATTAAAAATATATTAATTTAATATCAACTACTTTGACCATAGTTGAATTAATGAATCGTGAACCAATGGTTAGTCCGGTTCAATAACCGGACCAGTTTTTAAAACTTTAGTTGAAACCTTAAATTCTTACAAATGTCAATCTCTTTTTATTTATGTCCCCATTAAATACTCTATATAATAACCTTGAAAATAGTAATTTAAATTTCAATACATGATTTTTTCCAAAAAAAAAAGTAATGAATGAAGTAAGGATATAGTTGAAAATATAAATATAAAATTTATTTAATACCCTATATTTTGGATCATTAAAGTTTCTAAAAAATGTCTTATATTATGGAATGGAGGAGTAGCTATGACTGTGACAAGATACTGAATAATACAGTAATCTATTTATTATGATCATGAACGAGCTTTAAATATTCTGGCCGAAAATTGAGCAAGCTTTAAATATGAAACCACTTCATGCAAATGTTATGCTTCGTGGGGAAGATTTGTTTTGTTCTCATGAATGATAAGTCCAATTCTAATTCTCTGTGCGGCCCCAAAGCAACTCTAATTCACTTGTGCTTCTTGAATTTTGCCGAAGACTTTTTTCAAGTACAAATGAACTCAGCTTATTTTACAGGTTAAACAAGATATTTGCAATTTTACTTTGTTCAGCTTGCTTAATTCACTATAATATAAAGAAAGGTTAAAGAGTAAATTTATTCTAAGAATTTTTCGCGAAGTGGAATTAGTGGTATTCTTAACTTTTCATTGATATAATGTTTACCTAAAATTTTTAAATATAGTATAATGTTGTTGTATAGTAATATTTGATTAATTTAACTGTTAAATGTTAAACAATTTTGACTAAAATTAAAGGACAATTTCACTTCTAATAAATTTATGAAAAAATTGCTATGAAGTTCCTAATAATCATTCAAAATATTCAAAGATTTCATCAAATCTAAATATACCTATCAAGTCTCTGGAGACTTATAGGTAAATAAGTTTGAAATAATAATGATTAAAATATTCGTGTTAAAAGATATATACTTTGTTAATAACTTGATAATGGTTATTTATCATAGGATAAAAGCTATTCATAAATAAGTCATTTGTTAGTAACAAGTATGACCTGACAATTATTTAAATATTTCATGGGTTCTTTAAGTATTTTAAATGATTGTGGGAAACTTCATGAAATTTTTTCTAAATTTATTTGATTAGTCCCATCCACCTTGGGTTAGTCTTTATTGCCCTCAAGTAGGGCCGAACAAGTCTAGAATTTGTTCAAGGACACGTCCATGGAATGCTAAGGCAAACCAAGGTCTCTAGTCAACATCCGAAAACGTTATAATTATGACATTTCATATATTAATTTTTTTTGTCATAACAAAATATAAGTTCTCGAGTTTTTATTTGAATTATTTCTTTTACTTAAATAATCCAATGCGAGTTCCTTTGATGATAATTTGATATTCAGATGAGATTCTGTTGTTTAAATATTAATTAGCTCAAATACTATTTTATTTAGCAACTATAAAAATTGAGATGAGAAGTTGTTTGGTTTTAAAGCTAACTTGGAACTATGACAATGACGATATGATAGTGGAAAAATCATTGTAACAAGACTATGATTGAAAATGACTCCAAACTTGTATTGAAAAGAGTCCAATCGTCCATTATTCACATATTCTCAGCCATTAATTTCACAAACATTGTATATTAGTTGCAGAAATAATTAATCTCTCCTCCTCTCAATCTATTATTCCTCTTACATCATATTAATTTTAGTAGCATTTGTTGGAAAAGTGTTTCTCAGTATTAAGATTTAGAATGGATTAATTGGTTTAATCAGTTCGAATCACCAATCTTATGTATATTTTAAGGCCCAGAATGGAATCAAGATATAAAAACAAAAATAAAATGATGACAATGTAGAGAAAAATTAAGCCAATTATGTTAACGAGGAAAGTAAGTAATTTAGTTCAGGAGTATGCTTGAAGGGGTCAAGATCCTCTCATCATCTCTCTTTTCCTTTTCATCTCTTCATCTCTTTTCCATCTTTAAATAATCAAATAAATGGTTCAGATTTAATTATTTTATAAAATAACTATCATAATATCATGTAAAAAATAAATAAATAAATTTAAATTATTAAAATTTGACCTGCACAATTCATAATTTTATGTTATTATTAAAATTTTATATAAATTAAAATTTTTATTTATCTTATCGCAATTATAAATTATGTAAGTCAAATTTTAACGATTTAAAACCATTCGTTTATTTTATATCATAATATTATGATAATTGTTTTACAAAATAATTAAATCTAAACTATTTATTCCTAAAGGTGAAGATGGGACAAGCAGAAGAACTAAAAAAACAGAAGGATAAGAAGAGGAGGGGCTTGTATGTAGACATATCATATTTGATATATCATATACATTAATTAATATAGTGAAGATAATGAAATGATGGGATGTGCGTTTCCTTTCATATTAAAATCATTTTCCATCTCCAAAAATGCTTGCCTCTTGGTGACTTTAATTAAGTGAAAATGTCCTCACAACCCATGAACCTCTTGCTTTCAATGATATTGCCCCTTGTATTCATCACAAGAACATTGAATTATTTGCTGATGTTTTCTCATATTTTATATTCCCTTCATTTAAAAATATAAGATATTTTTAATTGAATCACAATTTTCAATAAGTTAATTAATTTTTTAAAAATGATATCATTTTTTCATATTTATCATTATTTAATAGAATATCTTGCTTAAAGGTAAAGGATTGAGTGGTTTACTTGTTAATGGTATTTTTGAAAAAAAAACATTAATTATATATTGAAAAACTAAAAATACCTTATATTCTTTAATAATTAACGTCAGAAAAAATATCTTATATTTTTTAACAAAGGGAGGGAGTAATTAATGTTTAATAGTTTTTATTTTTTTGCTAATTTTTTAAAAGCAAAAGTATAGTAAGTAATGTTTTTATCATTGATTAATTATATAATTTTATTTCAATTCATTAAAATGAAACTTGGTTACGTCATTAAACTTTAATTTCCATACTCTAATATTTTGAAATAAATATTAGATATATATCAACCTTATTATAAAGTTTTGTAAAATTATGTGTCAAGTTTAACTGATAAAAGTGCTCAATCTCATACCTTGGTTAGGTTCTTTTTTTAATATGATGAAGAAAGTTTATTTCGAAGGTATAAGTAATTTTTTTTTTATTATAGAAGATCTAAATAAATTAGAAGGTTATTCTCTTATAATTCTTTTAAAATTTAGGGAAAATCTCACTCAAGAATCCAGGAACTTATCATTAGCATAAAAGATTTTGAAATTCTCTATTCTCTCTGGACATTCAGGGAACCTAAATGAAAATAAGATTTAATGCAAAAAGAAAAAATAGCCCTGTTGAGAGAAAAGGAAACGTAAATCAAGGGAAAAACTTGACGTTTGTTAATTACTTTTTGTTATTTATTAATATGCGAATGCTTGCTTGTTACAACAAGACCAACACTTGTCAAAAATTAACCTAGGCCTATCAGATTTTTTAACTTGATCATTATCGAGCTATCACTTGTTAATTACTTACAGGTACTTCTCAACATGCGCATGGATGCTTGTTGCAACAAAACCAACACTGGTGGAAAATTACACCATGGCCTATCAAAAGTTTTAACTTGTTTATTATCAAATTGTCAATTGTTTAACAAAATGATGTAATATTTATCCCAAAAAAACCACAAAAAAGACATGAAAATAGAGAAAAATTGTTCATCTTCATTAGCATTTCAGCAAGAAGAGAAAGCGGATGTAGAGGCGTTCTCTTAGACCAAAACATGTTGGCAATGGG